ATGCTGGCACTGTGCAGAGGACCTGGCAGAGGGTGGAGGAAGAGACATTTCTGGCGGGAAACACTCAGTCATGCCTCACAGCTGCTCTCAGTCCTAGAGAGGCCTGATCCTTAAGATTCAAGACAGGCCCTAGGCCTGGGCAGAAGGGTCTCAGGGGAAACCTTTTCTCTCCCTCATTGCAATTTAGGCTGTTCTTCCATGACCTGAGTCAGAGTAAGCCAGATGAGAAGCAGAGAGAAAGGTAATTCTAGGAAGAGGAAGCAGTGCCTGTGAACCCCTGCACTGGAGGGAGGTGCGGGTGCCACGGGAACCCAGTGCACTTGGAGAAGTGTGTGACCTTGAACATGGCACAGTGGAAGCAGGGAGACGGGAAGCTGGGGTAAAGGGAGAAGAACACTGAGGTTTCACTGTGCACTCTATTATGCATCGTGAAAATTTTATCTCATATACAGAATAATATAAAACATTAAACTCAAAAAGCATCAGTTTTAGACTTCTTGGGGGTATTTCTAACCTGAAAACAGTATTCTCCTAGGGACCCCGGTCAGCCTCACTCATGGGCATGGGTGCTGATGGTTTCAGCCCCCTGGTGCCCTAGTACCCAATGACAGTCCTCCTTGACTCAATTCTCAATGCCAGTTAACCACCACCTTCTGCTTGTGGCACCTGTTAAACTTTCAGCACAGCCATTTCTCTCTGTTACCCCCAATCCAGGAGCTGGCAAACTGCGGCTCTCAGGCTGATCTGCCTGCTGGCTGATTTTAAAATAAACTTTTATTGGAACACAGCCACACTCATTCATTTCTATCCCAGGAATGCTGCTTTCTTGCTACACAGGCAGAGCTGAATACACCCCAGATAGTTACTTTGTGGCCCTTTACAAAAAAAAACATTTACCTACTCCTGCCCTGATTCATTCATTAACCTCTTTCAGTGGCGTGAGTGAAGCATCTTCCTAACTGATGTCCCTGCCTCCCCCTTGTTCTCCTCCAATCCATGTCCCACGCTCTGGCCTCTGTAAAGGAAAACTCTGAGTATGGCACCTGGCCACTGGCTTCCTGACGGATTCTGGACCCTCCTCATGGTTTGCAGGCTTCTTCCACTTGGCTCTGGCACTCCTTATGCCCCTGTGCTGCGTCTAACTTCATGCAGCTGCCAAGTGCAGTGAGTTCCCAGGGCACCGGGGTCTCCCTGCAAGGGTAGGCATTTGTATGTGCTACTTCCTCTTCCTGGAATTCCCTTGCTCTCTGCTCCTTACCTGGCCTTCTCTGACTCATTCTACAGTTCTCAGGAAAGCCTCTTGGCTTCCCAGGTCTGGGCTAGGAGGCTTTTCTATTGGTCTCCATGGCTCTAGATTCTTCTTCCATTACAGGGCATATCCGGTTATATTAAAAAATATCCCTCCCTCCCTCCCTCCCTCCTTCCCTCCCTCCCTCCCTCTCTCCCTCCCTTCCTCCCTTCTTCCTTCCTTCCTTCCTTCCTTCCTTCCTTCCTTCCTTCCTTCCTTCCTTCCTTCCTTCCTTCCTTCCTTCCTTCCCTTTCCTTCCTCTTCTCACTTTCTATATACTGTATTAGTCACGAATCTGAGTACTCGAGGTACGGTAAATAAAACAACATCAAAATAATCCAAAGCTCCTTTCTGCTCTCAGAGGCCTACATGCTGGTGGGAGAGGTGGCAATTAAACAAGATTAGAAAGTAGGGTAGAGAATATTAGCGAGGAAGATGTCCTGAGAAGAAGAAATAAATCAAGAAGCAAATATGAGGTGCTGGGGGGTGTTGACATTTTAGATGGGATAGGGCTAGTCAAAGCCTCCCCGAGAAGGCATCTTCTGAGGAAAAGCCTCCAGGAAGGGAGGGGGGGAGCCATGTGGGTATTTGGGGAAAGAGCATCTAGACAAAGAAAAGACAAGCACAGTGCAAGGTTCTGAGGGAGGAATGCACTTGGCTGCTGTGTTTGAAAATGAGGGCAGTGTGTCTATAGGGGAGGAGAAGGGGGGATGGATAAGAACTATGGGGTGGCCAGGTCCCATGGTGCTGTGGGAAGGACCTTGAACTTTACTCTGAGGAACATGGGAGCCGTTGCAGGGTATTGAGCAGAAGAGTGACATGACCTGGCTGGAGTCTTTCATAGAGTCCTTCTGGCTGTGATATTACTCTCTATTAGACAGACAAGCTCCTTAGGGCAGGCATTGTATCTTATTAACCTTTATTCTAAGAACGTAGCACATCTAGCTTGTAGAAGACTTCGATATATGTTTTTAAAAGTGAATGATGAATGAGTGAATGAATGCATGAATGAATGCTATCTCCCAACAGCCAGATCCTGGCTCCTAGGGCTCTGGAAGTCTTCCCATTGTCCAAGGAAAACTCTGGGAGAAGATGCTTCCAGCAGCCAAGTCCCTGGGGCTCTTAGCTGCTGCTTGGACGTCGCTGTGGCAGCAACACACATGCAAACCCATTTCCCTTCTTGCCACAGAGCAGGCTGCTTAATGGATCCCTGTCACCTGGAGGGAGAATTTCAGGAGTGACCCTGCCCTGGGCAATCTTCTGCTTAATGATGTCATAGAGAGCTATTAACAAAATTGTAGATGAAGGTGAGAGGAATAGAGGATTTACTGATGGATGGACTCAGGGTTTAAAACTATATATATGTTTGAGCCAAGAGACCCTGTCAACATTTCACCTTGAAAACATCTTTGGGTTAAACTTCAGGCCTCTCCTTCCATTACCACAGGTCATCCTCTGTCTTCTCCATACTTCATAGAAGAAAAAACAACATGAAGTCCCACAAGAGCTAGTTATTTCTGGTGAGATTTAATCCTCTCAATAACTATGAAAAGGGAAGCATAATTAACTCATTTTACAGATAATGAAACTGGAGCTAGGACAGTTAGTGCCATGGCCAAGCCCTCTGAGATAAGAAGTGGTGATATCTAGGGTGGGAATTCAGATGCTGCAATGCCAGAGTCTTGAAACAACCCCTGCGCCTGCTGGCCTTGGGGTTAACCAGAAAAATAAAAGTCTGGGTTCAAGCGATTGAATTCTTTTTAACTTTCATTATAAGTTCAGGGGTATATGTGTAGGTAAACCCATGTTACAACAGTTTGATGTACAAACTATTTCATTACTCAGGCACTAAGCCTAGTACTCAGTAGTTATATTTTCTACTCCTCTCCCTCCTCCCAGCCTCCACCCTCCATGAGGTCTTATTGTATGTTGTTCCCCCTTTGTGTCCATGTGTTCTCATCATTTAGCTCCCACTTATAAGTGAAAACATACAGAATTTGGTTTTCTGTTCATATGTTACTTTGCTAAGGATAATGGCCTCCCGCTCTATCCGCATTCCTGCAAGGAACATGATCTCATCCATTTTTGCAGCTGCATAGTATTCCATTGTGTATATGCACAGCATTTTCTCTATCCATTCCTCTATTGATGGGTATTTAGGTTGATTCCATGACTTTGTGTGTTGAAGCATAGCATACATGCTGAAAAACACGGAAATAAGAAATGCATGGCTCAATGGATTATCCAAAGCAAGTGTACCCTATAACCAGTACCCATAAGAAACAGAACATCACCAACCCTCTAGGAATCCCCTCATGCTGTCATCCCAGGCCACTGAACTCTCTTCTCGAGTGGTAACAAATATTCTCACTTCGGAAGCAAGCATTTCAATATTTTAATTTTAAAATTAGTTTAAAATTTTAATTAAATGAAATTGTACAGAATGAACTCTTCTATGTCAAGATAATGTATTATATTTGAAAGTCTTATGGGTGGTTCTGAATGCAGCTGTAATTCATTTTTATTTCCGTGTGACTTTCATTATATGTATATATATATGCAATATCATGTTCTATGAGCTTTTTATTATACTTTAAGTTCTAGGATGCATTTGCAGAACGTGCAGGTTTGTAACATAAGTATACACATGCCATGGTGGTTTGCTACATTCATCAACCCATCGTCTACATTAGGTATTTCTCGTAATGGTATCCCTCCCCTAGCCCTCTACCCCTGCGACAGGCCCTGGTGTGTGATGTTCCCTGCCCTGTGTCCATGTGTTCTCATTGTTCAACTCCCACTTATGAGTGAGAACATGTGGTGTTTGGTTTTCTGTTCTTGTGTTAGTTGGCATTTTATGACTTTTGTATATACATATATATATATATATAATATTTGATTTATTCTTTTTATTATTGATGCACATGTGGGTTATTTCCAGTTTGGAAAAGTTCCAAGTGATGATGCTTTTTAGAAAAGAAAAAAAAAATCAAAGGAGAAACTACATTAACCCACAGCTCCACTACTGAGAATTTACCTCCGTTACCCCTCGTAGTTCTGGCCCTTTGTGGACGTTCTTTTGCGTGTTGAAGAGATGCAGGCATTTCTAACAGATCTATACCTAAGAGTCAAGTTGTGGAGCCATAGAGTGTATCTGCCTATCTTTAGAAGATATTATCAAAGGGCTTTTGAGAGTGGTTGTGGCAGTTCACACACGCAGCAGCATATGAGAGTCCCAGGCGCTCAGCCCCTCCCCAACACTCGATACTGCTTTTTAAATAAAATGTCGTCCATTGCACAGCGGTATTACACTGTGGTTTTAATCTGCATCTCCCCGATGACCAAGAATGCGCAGCACTTTCTATACACCTCTTGGCCGTCTGTTCACTCTTTGGGAAATACCCGGATTGTTTACCCATTCTCCCCAGTGTGTTGCCTTTCTTCTTCATTGATGGGATTAGTCCCATATCCTAGATGTCAGGCTTTTGTCACATAAATGATAAATGTTTCCTCACATTTCGTTCTTGCCTTTTAATTTTATTGAAGGCATCTTTTGATGAAGAGAAGTTCTTAATTGTAATTAAGTCATATTTATCAAATTTTTCTTTTGTTATTAGTGCACTTTGTGTTCTAAGAAGTCTCTACCTGTTTCAAGATCATAAAAATATTCATTCCTGTTATTGACAATACATATATTTTTTAAACTTTCATGTTTAGATTTAAAATTCCCCTGGGATTAACTTTTGTGCACAGTGTGAGGTAGGAATCAAGTTTGATTGACTTCCCATGTGGATGCCCAGTTGCCCAGGCCATTCACTGAGCAGCCTTTCTCTCCCCACTGCTCTGCGGTGTGCTCAGTCATATGCAGAATGTCAGGATCTGCAGGTCTGAGCTGGACCCTCCATTCTTTCTCCTCCTTGTGTCTATTCTTGCACAACTAAACCACAGGACCTTGATTCCTGTAGCTGTGATCTAAGTCTTAATACCTGACAGTGTACGTCCTCTAGCTTTGTTACAAATGTCTTGATGGTTCTTGACTCTTTATTTCTATGTAAATTTTGAAATTGGCTAATCAGTTTTCAAGAGATATTGGCTGAGTTACTTTATTGTGGTTGTATGATCTTGTAGCTCAATTTGGAGAGAAGTGACATCTTAATAATACATAGAAAATGAAACAAAGCAAATAAAACAAAAAGAAAATCAATTCAAACCAGAACTAAGAACCACAATTTAAAAAAAGATATAATAAACTAGGAATAAATATTTACAACCCATGTCACAGCGGGGCTCACACTCCCATTACAGAAAGAACTCCTAGAAATGGATAGAAAAGAAACAATTACACGGTAGAGAACTGGACATGTGCTTGGGCTCAGTAATAATAAAACAGCCTTGTCAAATTCATAGTTTGACCACACACTGTGAAGCTGTGGATCAATAGGAAAATGGCTCCCTCCAGTCCAGGCCCACCAGGCCTAGTGCCCTGCAGCCCCCGCTGAATGTACCACTGGTGCCCCTGGGCCCCGAGGGTGTGGGACACAAGAGCAGTCAGAGGCTGGAGGTGGAGGCTCCCGTGGGACTGGCCTCCAGAGCAACACTGTCGGTGCCCTGCGAATGCGCACTCACCTCTCACTGGGTCTCTGGCTTCCTGTGCTCCATATCTGCAGGCCAGGTTGTGTCAGGAGGCCTGCGCACCCATGTGTGACTGAGCCCAGCCACGCTGACACGGTGTGTGGCATTAATGAAGCCCGATCCCATGTCCTCAGTGAGCATGCACTTATTCAGTTCTTTATTGTACAATTGGGAAACTGAGGCCTGGAAAGAGGGAGAGAGTGGCCCAGACCACAGTAGGTGGACAGGGCCAGTGTTAGGACGGGCTCTAGCTTCCAAGGCCTTGGTTTCACCTTTTCCCATGGCATTTGCTTTGAAAATGGAAGCCTCTAAGATCCCAGGGGACCCCTGCCCACTTCTCCACCTGGGGCCATCTTCCTTTCCACATCCCAAGTGAGCTCAGACACACACGACACACAAAGACATAATGACTCCTCAGGTGGAGACCATGGAGGCAGCAGCCACAGAAAGAGTGAACATCAGAAAAGTGACAGGAGAAGAAGAATAAAGAGGTTGGGGGCAGCTCTGTCACAGGGCAGTGGCATCCACTCCTCTCCTACCCACATGCTCAGGAGCCCGAAGCATAGGCAGGAGGATCCACAAGGCTCCCAGGGCTCAGCCAGGGCTGGGGCAACACCCAGCACAACCTTGAGAAGACAGGACTCAGTCCTGCAGCCCATGTCTGTGGACGCCTGGAGCTAAGATGAGCCCACCTGCTCTGGTGTAAGAAGGGGCTGCAGGACAGAAGTGCCTGTTTTCTCCTGTGTGAATTGCGGTGTTTGGCCTGATCCCAAGGTTTCCATGGTAAATACCTAATTGGCTCTGGTTCTCTACTGGTGGCCCACTGTGCTGGGAGACTCTGGGAAAATGCTTTCTACTCCCTGGAGGTCCTTCAGAGCAAAAAACAAAAACAACAACAACAACAACAAAAAAACTGGGGGCTTGGGCAGATGAGGACTTGGATAGAGCAGAATGTTTCAGAACACTGGACCCCAGGTCTGAGGTGTGGGGACAAGACCAGGCCCAGTTGGGTTCCCGAGGTCCACATTGGGAAGTAGCAGGAAATCACTGCCCTGGATAAAGTGAGGGTCCTCAAGAGTGACCTGTACACCCCAACAAGTGGAGGAACAGCGGTAAGGGAGGCTTCTGAGGTCCCTCTTACTGACCTTGAGCCGGCAGATTTGGCTCCAGGGCCTGCTGGGACCCTGGAGAGCCACTGTCCTAAGGATCTCCAAATGCACCTGCCTGTCCTGTCTGTCCTGTCCTGTCCTGCTCTGTTCTGTGATACTCCTGCCTGGGGCTGCAGTGCTAGTGCTGACCCCCAGGTGGCAGCAGCCTCCCATGTCCCTGGTGCCCACTGAGCTTTACTGGGGCAGCTGGAGCCCAGGGATTCTCCTGAGACAGGTGCTTCCTGTTATTATCAATGATCTCCACATTATGAGGAGGCCAGCAGAAGCAGAAAGTGGGGTTTAACCACCCTCCGACTTATTCACTCACTGACTCCTTCCTGAGCACTCACCTTGTGCCAGGTGCCCTGGTAGCCTCAGTGTTGGTGCTGAAAATGACAAAGGAGCCCCTCTCTACCCGAGGAGCCCACAGTCTTAGGAGACCTGCACAAAACCACTAGAGCAAGTCCACATGAAAGAAAAGAGCAAGTGCCGTGATAAAAATACAGTAGGATGATGGGAAGGAGGGCTGGGGAGCCACTGTGCACTGTGTGGGGAGAATCCAAATGCCTCACTAAGGTGGCATTTATGTCATGACCAGAATGACAGTAGGGGACCAATGCTGCCCAAGTCAGGGACAGAGTTGTCAGAAAGATCACACCACTGCACCGCTCCAGCACTCCAGCCTGGGCAACAGAGCAAGACTCCATCTAAAAAAAAAAAAAGAAGAATTATGACAACAACTCACTTAGGAGTCTCCTTTTACAGATGAGGAAACTGAATTCCAATAGACCATTGCACAGGAGGATGCAGCTTGTGACAAAGCCAAGCCAGAGGCCAAACAGTCTGATGGACATGGCCAGAACTGCATGGGGAGTGTGTGTGTGCCAGCCTGGCCCTGTCTGGCTGATCTCTTCATGTGCAGAGTGATGAGTGTGAATGCACATGGCTCAGTGGGTGAGTACGTGCAGTTAAGAGAGTCAGGACATTGGAGCATCTGGGAGAATGTCCCTATGCACGAAGCTGCTTCCATTTGACATGTCTCCTCCTTCTTCATATCATTTAATATTTAAGAGGCCCAAATCTAGACTATCTTTTTTTTTCTGGTTATCTAATAGGAATAAATGTAGCTTATTTTACGTATTTCAAAATACATGATGTATTCAGAGCAATGCATCTTTTCTTATTCCCACTCTTCAATTTTGTAAAATGAACACATGCAAAGCACTTGTGTTAGGCCATTCTGGCATTGCTGTAAAGAAACACCTGGGACCAGGTAAATTATAAAGAAAAGGCATGTAATTGGCCCACAGCTCTGCAGGCTGTACAGGAAATGTGCTGGCATCTGCTCAGCTTCTGGGGAGGCCCCAGGAATCTTCCAGTTGCGGCAGAAGGTGAAGGAGGAGCAGACATCTCACATGGAGAAAGCAGGAGCAAGCATGAGAGAGTAGAGGGAGAGACATCACACATGTTTAAACAACCAGATCTTGGGAGAACTCACTGTCTTGAGGACAGGTTGAAGGCATGAGGGTCTGCCCCCATGATCCAATCACCTCCCACCAGGCCCCACCTCCAAGACTGGGGATTACTTTTCAACAAGAGATTTGCTGGGGACACAGGTCCAAACCATATCAGCACTGATCATTTATTGTTTTGTTACTTAATTTTTGTTTGCAATAAATGTATATTTGTACTAATTAAAAAATTTTATTTCCAAAGTTTTCCATTCCACTTGTTTTATCCTGAAAAACTGCTCTTTTCCATTCCCAATCCTGTCTTCAAATTTTGGTTAATGATATTTTTGCTGTTTGGAATGCCTTTACCTTTCTTTTCTATCAGTGGAAATCTCTCACATGTGCACTTCTGAGCTGCCCACAGTGGGATTTTGCTCTCCCCCAGCAAAACTGTTGCAAAAACATATATATTTACAAAAAAATAAAATAAAATTGTTACAGCTGTAACAATTATATCACCACTGCTTGTTCAGGTGCCTGTCTTTTTTGATGATGGGGGTAACTAACTTACCTCGATGCTCCTCATGACCTCCAGCCACTGCTTCGCATGCAGATGATCAAGGAAGTATTGGCAATTTAAACATCATCTATGTACATTGTGCATAATCCACATAATAAAAGGATGTAAGAATTTTTATTTACATTAAAAGAATGTAAGCCTTTAAAGGGATGTTTAAGACTATGTACTTCAGTTATTTTAGAGCTGTGAAAGCTGCAGGTGTGACTTGCCCAAAGACACTGAAATTGCAGTTGCACTTCTGAAGTTAGCTTCTTGAGTACTCACATGTATGGGCATTTGTGATTTTTAGAGTAGTAGTGTGGCATTTTGATGATTTATTTTGGTGCTTATTTTACAGTTTGAAGGGTGCTCTGTGTTATGTTTTTGGTGCTAGCAAGAATGATACTTATATAGGAATTGATCACTGCTCTGCCAACCATTCTAATAACGTTGATTAGATGTTGATTAATCAAGATGATTTCTTGCAGGTTGGAGGTTGGCAGAAGTTCTAAATTTACCTTCTAATTTACCATTATTGACCATAAAACAGTTTATAAAACAGGTTTTAACAAAAATGAAAACTGTGTCTACAATAATCATTTCATCATGATTTTTCCATGATTATGCTGTACTTAATCTCTTTAAAAATCCATTTAAACTACCAAAGTGTTTGACAGTTGGTGTTGCATAAAATACTTAAGGTCAACTCGAATAAGGTATTTGTCCAGTCACACATGTGACACCCCTATTGGGCTTTAATACTTTATCTCATGAGAGCTCTGGCAATAAATGTGCATAGCGCATAACAATATCTAGTGTAACTTCATTGAGTATGGAGAGTCTGCAAGGTGGTGTCATTGCTATTGGTGGTAGCAACATACATCAGTGATATTTCTAACTTTAATTTGGTAAGAAACATCTTACCATTTAATGCCACTTTTATCACTTTCATTTAGCTTACCCACTAAGGTAACATGTAGCTCTTGTAATTTAAAAAAAATAAGAACTAAAATAATCCCCTCCGCATTTATAGGAAACTACCGGTGCCTTTTAGAACATTGTATTTCCCACTTTTTCCTGCTATAGTGAGCTTTTGTTCAATTAACACTTGTTAGTTCCTTTTCCTTGTCAGGGCTTTGGTTAAGTGGGAAAATAATAAAATATAATAAGCACAAGGTAGAGGTCAGAACTTTTTGCCACTTAGCTCTAACACATCTTTTGTTTTTAAAGTGTATTTTAACTGTACATATTGTTTATGTAGGACTGTTGTGTATTTGTATATATAGGCACATGCGTGTTTCTAAGTATATGATCTCCTTGATCCATCTTTAATGGGATATGCTTTTACCTCTGGCCCCATGTTGATAAAAGGTTTAAACTGAGCTATAAACATTTTTTTCAATGGATAGTTATTATCACAAGTGGCATTTATTTATTTTGTAAGATGAATGATTATTATTGCAAAATATGAGATCATTTTGTAACAGATTAATTTAAATCTTTGTGAGAGATTTATATATAGTGTAAATCTTCTATTTTTACTATTTGTCTTCTTAGATACTGTGTTGAACAATTTTACTTTCTTAATCTACTAATCTTTAATGGCTGCCAAAAAACAAACAAACAAACAAAAATCTCATAGTTAAGTTACTTAACTGATCTTTAAATTTTGTGTTTTCATTAGTATTTAGAGGTGGCTGGCTTCTCAGTTAGGGTAGAACAGGTTAAGGGGAAGAAGAGGGAAAATTTCTTTCCAAAATGTTTAAGAGGAACATCACATGGGAGGGGAAATCTTCAAAAGTTTTGTTTTAGGCAACAAGATGAACGTTGGTACCATCACTGTAGACATTTGATACATTGAAATGTTGATAAAACAGCACGTTTTGAGGAAGAGAAAGACAAATAATGACTTCATTAAGCACATCCTTTAGTTGGAGAAGGCTTTGTATGATCTTCCTTCTGTAGACAAAAACAAAACAAAAAAATTGAGTCTGGACTTTAGAATGTATCTAAAGATAAATATTTGGTGTGGTTTTGGCCATCTAGGGAGAAGCTGGAGGGAGGAAGAAAACAGTAGAAAATGGATAAAAACAATATTGAAGCAACATTTAGTAGAATATCCCCCAAAAGGCTAAGAAGGTATTGTGAGGTAAGAGAAAAATCAGTGGAATTATTTCATTTCAAGGAATAATTTCAAGAATGGTGAATTAATCTGCAGAATTAGACATCAAAAATAAGTAAAGAAAATTTACACACCTTCATGGAGAAGACTCCAATGCCTGAGCCAGCTGTCAAGGTTCATCTTATATTTTGCATCATTGGGAGGGAAATAAAGAAAAGTAATTCTCAAAATTAATTCAACTACCATGTAAATGAGAAGAAGCTTGCTGTTAACCACAGTGCTTTACTTTCCTCCATTTGCTAAACAATTTTATTATGTGGACAAAAATAAATAAATAAATAAAAACGGATATAACTTTTAAAACTGGTTCTTACTCTTAAAAAGATAATTTTGGTTCAACATACACATGTTCCTAAAACAAGGAAAAAGTATGTAAATTGAATAAATACATGTATAATCTTAAAACACTGCTAAGTAAATCATGGCTCTTAATATTTTTTGACTAAACATTCAGGGTGAGGTTTTATTGGGTGAGGTTTCCTGAGTAATTGGAAATACTATAGCAGAACAATTCCAGTGGGAAAGTGCTCATGTTGGAGATGAATCTTCAAGAGTGTGACTTGCCCTCACTAAGCAACAAGATCAAGTGTTATTCAAGGGTGAGGTCTAACAAGCACAAACTTTAGCTTTATGTTTATATGCAAAATAGGTGATTATGATAGGAACCCGATAAGTGTAATGATTGGATTACTTTAGTCCACTTTAGAAAATGCTTGGAAGAAGGAGTTCGCCATTTTTATATGGGTAAATATGGTTTCCCTTGTTGCTATGCATCTCTGTTTCTCTTTGCGTCTTTCATGAAATAAGTCTAATTTTCTTTAATTTAGCCTATGTGTGGCCATGTTCTTTTTAACTAACACAAAAAAATATATACCGCGTCCTGTACATGTTTTCAGTTATATGCAACGGAATCTATTGCTGTTGCATAATGTTTCACTTTCAGAAATTTTTATGGAATATTTTGCTTTAGTTAGAGAAACTATTCTTATATTATGCTCTAAGTTGAAATCTTATGGGTTACTACCTGTGAAATTAGGTCTGTACCTTTTTGAAAATCTGTCCTTAGCATTAGATATGCTATATTGTAATTAAAATTCCTTATCAAGTCAGGAGTTTTACCAGTTGCCGCTATGAGGGGTTGAAGAGAAGGCAGGGTCTTTCCCAAAAGCAGTTATAACAGAGACACATCAGAAATTGTGGAGCACATGTTTTACCGTAAGATCTAGTTAGTTAATTTAAAATCATTTATTATGTGAATTCAAAGATGGACTAAAACACTTCAGTCTGTAACTCCAGCTGCACAGAGGAGCCTTGCTGCAAGGTTTCCAGTCACCTTCCTGTAAGTGCCTTGCATTCCCAACTGTCTGGCTACAAGTCCAGATGGACATGAGCCTGACTGAAACAAGTTTGGAAGTTTTAGTTGAACCAAAAGAACTTATGATTTTTGTAGGTAAAAATGGCCAAATATCAGCAATTTCATGTGAATCATCCTAATGGAGTTGGCCTTTTAACCCTGCCCCACTGCCTTTCATTCAGTCCACGCAGGCTGCCCTCAGACCACCTTAGATCCCTGGTTTCCTCCTCCCAGCTTCCTTGGCAGGATCCCCATGATGGAGAGCGATGGGTGCCTGGGAGAGAAGTCCACAAAGGAAGAGAGAGGAAATGTCAGAGAGGTAGAAGAATAGTGCCAGGGCCTGGAACACATTACCCCAACATGTGGCCCCTTGGCCTGCTGAGTATTTTATGGAAGGAAATGGAGAAAACGGCAGCAGCAGGAAGGTCACTCTCTGACCCTTTCTCCCCTGAAGCATGGTCAGAAAGGAATTCTTGACTTGCCTTGCCTGAAAGTAGGTCAGGAGACCCTCATTCCAGAGAAGTCCTGACTTGGTCCCCATATCGCCCTCTCCCATGCTGGCCTCATCAAAGCCTCTGCTTAAGGAGGACTCCAAGTCCATCTTTAGCCGCTCATGGTGAATTGATTCCTCACCCTCTAAGGGCATTTTCCTGTGAAGCTTTGTTCTCTATGACATAAGAGGAGAGGGATGTTTAGAGGACCTGTTTAAATCCCCAGGGGATTTCCTTGTCTCCACAGATTCATCTCTTTGTGAGGCAAAACACACAAAGCACCCAGCACAGTGCCCAGCACACAGTCAGTGCTCACAAAGCGTTGATTCCCTCTGCCTGCTGCAGTTGGGACAAACAACACACAGGGTGCCAAGATTCAGCTTGGTGAAGACAAGTGTAGCCCGCATTCCTGTTCCTGGGCCTTGTCCTCTTTGTTGCAGCTCAAAGTTAAAGGCAGGTCAGACACTGGCATTGCTTGTGCTGAGGATAAGCCAGCACGTCCTGTGCCCAGTAGTCCCCAGAAATGCTGTTGCCTGCCTGCTGACACTCTGCATCTCCAGTTCATCCCCCCAGGCCTCTCCAAAGCCCATTCCACCTCCCTCCCCTCCCAATCCACTTGGAGTTCCCACCTCTCATCTTTCTTTCCCCTCTGGAGGGTGGGTAGCAATCTGCAGGCCTCCCTGAGAGAACTTCCCTTACCCTATCTGAGATGTTGAAAGCCAGGAGCACTGATCCAGCACTCAGTACAGAAAGGATGGACTGGGATTTTTCACTGATGCCCTCAGACCCCTGAGGATAGAGTGGGCAGGGCATGCAGGGTCTATAGGCAGTAAGATAGAGGGAGGCAGTGAGCTGAGCACAGATGGGAAAAGAAGATCACATTGCTCAGAGCTAAAGAAGACATGGCCCCATGACCAGAAGACTCTGTCCCAGCAGGAAAGGCACATCTCAGTGTGGAAGGGTCTGGAGCTCAGGAGGGATTCAGATTCAGCAGGGACTCAGTCTCACTAACCTCTGCTCAGGAGAGCAAAACCCTCTACGTGAGGTTTCCTCTCTGTGTCTTTACTCCAGGAAGCAGGTGTCAGAATCAAGGGCACCATTAAAATAGGATGCCAGGGATATCTGACATGTGTCAAACAAATTCCTAAAGGCCTAGCTATCACAGCTGGGGGCGGGTGGGGGACAGTCTTCTCACGGGCCAACCCTGTTCTTTATGGCACAACCCAGGACCCTTCGGCCAAAGCTGGCTTTTTCCACCCTCAGAGCAACGTCTCATCTGTGCTTTATTTGTGACTCACAACAGGCTTCTGAGTTAGGCAGGGCCTATATCATTCCAATTTCATAGAAAGGGAAACTGAAGAATGGAGTGGGCTAAGTGACTTGGGCCAGAGGGTAAGTGACTTGGGGTCAGGACTCAGATCTCCTTAAATCCAGCACCACATGTTCTCCCATATGGAACCCTCACCCTAATCTAAACACTTCCATGGCTCCATGGCTTCATAGCCCATCACAGGATAATGAGGCCACAGAAACTGCATGCATGTTCACATGTGTATACATGTGTGTATGTGCGCATGTTTATGCACACATATACGTGTGTGTACATGAGTAATGCGTGCATGTGTGCTGAGCAAAGAGTGGGGGTGTGGGGTTGGCAGTGCCTAATGATTTTCTCCATCTTGAACATTGCAGGTTCTTTCCTGGGAGAGCCATGCAACCATGGTGTGTCAGCAGGAGGGTCTCAGGACAAGACCTATGAAGTGAAGATGACCAAAGACACAGAGGTCTGCATTGAGCCCAGCCTCCTCTCCACAGAGATGTGAGCTCTGCTGTCCTCTTCCCAGGCTGGCCTCATGTGAGGATGGCTTTGGGGAGGCAGGGATAGGTCCCTGAGATCCCATCTCTGGCTGATTTGCAGGAAGAGAGAAGATCGCAGAGAAAAATCTGCACAACCTCTGATGAGAGCCTTTCTCTCTCTGTCTCACACACATATACACAATGCCCTTTCAGCTCAGCCTTTATTCATCAGAACATTTCTAAACATTGCTTCTTAAATCTTTTAGGTTGTAACCGACATAAATCATCTATTTCCTGGCGAGACTCAGTGCACACACACAGATGTTGACAATTAAACAATGTTTATGACAATTAAACAATGTTAATAGACACGACTTACAATAAAGCTGCCCAGAAGAGGGCACTGGTGGCAAATCTAGGCCTGAGTTTTTGTCTTTGCTGGAATTTTTGGAGTATTTTAGCTGAGACTTAGATTCCTTAGAAAGTTGTGAAATCCACTTGGTCAGTTATAATGAGCTCTTAAAAGAATAGCATAGCATAGCATAGCATAGCACAGCACAGCACAGCATAGCAATCACAATAGAAACTATCAGAGTGCATCGTATTTCACAAAGGTAAGTAGTATGTTGTACAGCACTTGCTTAATTGCCAATATCTGTATATATCTAGGGGATCTCTTGTGAAAAATCTTTGACTTTATAGCAGTTTGAGACACACTGTTTCAGAATTTTTTTCTGAAAGGACTTTAGAGTGTGGAAGGACTAGCCTTCTAGGCTTTTGAAGACAGGAGAGGTGTGGCTGGAGGCGATGGGAGGGGGCACCAGGCCTTTAACCCCGAGGAGTACTGGGGAGCAGCAACCAGGCCAACACAGCATGTGGCTTCCAGGGGTCCCGGTGCTTTCTTCTCAGGAACTGGGTGGGAGGATTAGCAGAGATGCCTCCTTTTCCTCTGGCCTAGAAAGAAGAATCTAGTGAGTAAGGAAAAACTTGGAAATAGTCCCAACCAGTGACGCTTGACAGATTATTCAACTGTCCTGTGCCTCTGTGTCCCTGACAGAAAATGGGGCGATGGGAGTGGCAGAACTACTTTTTTGACTCAATGAAACATAGCCATTATAAAACCAAGAGAAATATTTGATGTTCCTTATGAGATGATATTCTCTAAATTGATTTTTAGGGAATACAAATTAATACATGACCATCTACCTTAGAAATAAGAAAGCCAGGCCGGGCGCGGTGGCTCAAGCCTGTAATCCCAGCACTTTGGGAGGCCGAGGCGGATGGATCACGAGGTCAAGAGATCGAGACCATCCTGGTCAAAATGGTGAAATCCCCTCTCTACTAAAGATACAAAAAATTAGCTGGGCATGGTGGCACATGCCTGTAATCTCAGCTACTTGGGAAGCTGAGACAGGAGAATTGCCTGAACCCAGGAGGCGGAGGTTGCAGTGAGCCGACATTGCGCCATTGCACTCCAACCTGGGTAACAAGAGCGAAAGTCTGTCTCAAAAAAAAAAAGAAAGAAAGAAGAAAGCCTATATTTTAACATATTTTAGTCCCTCTAGAGTTCTTGGTACACTCAGGCACTCTACTATGTCATGAAGAAGCTAGTCTCTATCTTCAAAGGCATTCTACAAACTAGGAAGCTAGGAGGGTCTCAGAAGAGGAAGATAATACAGACAGTTTCTCACTAATCGCCCCAGAGTGGTACAACCCTGAGAGGTACAGGCTTCAGAGAAGGTTGAGAGCAGGGTGACTTTAATGGGAACCATGCACAAGATCAAACAAACAGAAGTGTGCTGCAAGAGTGGGGGTGATAGGCAAAAGAAAAAATATGATAGGGAGGCTTACCTGGCTGAGAATGAGAATAAAGCTTGCAGGCATAAGCATGTGTGGTTTTTGCTCAACCAGAGTTCTTGCACAGCTAAAAGTACTTCATGTCTCTGTCCTGTGCTGGGAAAAGTTGTGAGGTCACCCTCATGCTTCTGAGGTGTGGGTTGGCCCTATGGACCAGTGAGTCTGTGGTCTTGTCTGGAAAACGGGGTTGGAATGCAACAGTGCTTCTTGGACTGCAGGCTGACCCAGTAGGGATTGTGAATTGATTTTTTAATAAAATACACAGATTAAAGTACAGTAGGACTCACCAGGGTGCAATAAATGCCCCTAAGGTGGGTACAGGACATGAGGTTTCATTCCATGGGGTGTGTCAGTGCATGATGGGAATGTGTCAAATCTATGTCTCACTGAGTCTTTTTAACCCCTTCAGCTCACTTCGAAGTGAGCACCCCACTTTTGGTGGTGCTCAGAAGAAAGGTGCTCACTTGGGTCAGAGCAGAGAGAGCTTCCCAAAATGAGCCACTCTTGGCTGTGACTACCACTGCACAGAGCCATGTTTTCCCTTCCTCTGCTTCCAGCTCCCCTGCCTTCTCATATCACTCCTGCTTTTCAGCTTTGCCCCCCACTTTCTGAATTCCCCTCTACCCAGAACCCTTTTTGGCTACAGCCCTTTTAGCGCTCTTCGCATGCTTCCAAGCTTCTGATTTTTTCATATCCCACTCTCCATTCAAAAACTTTTACTACTCAAACTCTCTTCCAAATTTTTCTAACTTAAAAAAAAATTTCAACGGTTCTATTTTCTTCAGTTTGATTTTCATTCCAACTTCCTCCCAGTCTAGCCCCTTTAAATGCTGCCAGGTTTCAATATCCCCAATGGATTAAATGTCCAATTTCTTTCCTCCTTTGCCCCTACCGATGATCTGGTTACTCCTTTTTGCTTCAACATTCCCCCGAACCTTCTCAAACACTGATATTTTCCCTCTTTCCCCACAAATCTCCCTGTCAGGCTTCTGCCCCAAACATCTTCTCACCCCTTCACACCACATCACCCAGGTCCTTTAGATTCCTACGCAGCCGATTTCTCTGTCCTCCCACACCCGCTTGCTTCCCTTGCTCCCACCATGGCAGTGCCGATCCACTCCTCCCCGCTCACTCAGGTCTGTTGCTCAGGACGTCTTTGGCGACGGCGAGGGAGATTCTTGCTGAAGAGGGGCTCCGGGGGCAGCATGGCATTCCGGGGGAACCTTTCTTCTCATTGTTGGCCTTGGCCCCAAGTGTGCCCAGGTGCTGATGGAGCGCCTAGGGTGTGTGAGCCCTGCCGCAAGGGCCCGGCTGGGGTTGCGCCAGGAGCTGTCCGTGGTCCTGAAACGATGCCGGCCGAGGCGCCGGCTGAAGAGGTTCCTGGGCCCACGGCAGCGGCGGCAGCGGTGCCTAGGAGGCCGGCAGCTGGAAGACCACCAGGAATGCTTTTTGGAGGAAGTAACCCTTGAGGTGGGGAGGGTTTTCCAGGAAGGGAGAGGATAGCATGAGCAAAACCTTAGCGATATTAATAATCGTGGACTGATAATCATGGCCTCTCCCTCCAGTACCTAGTGCGCGCGCCGCTCCCTACCCCGCCCCCAATCCCACGGTTGCCAGTAGCTGCCTTGTGCCCGTACCTTGCCGCGCCAATCCGTTAAGGTCCCAGGTCCTTAGTGCGCGCGCCTCTCCCTACGGTACACCGCGCGCGCGCCGCCCCTTCCGTTGCCATCAGGTGCCTTGTGCGCGAACCTTGTCGGCCAAACCGTTAACTTCTGGCGTCCTTTGTGCGCGCGCGCCTCTCCTTCCATTGCTCGCAGGACGCTCAGAGTCCAGCTCTCCAGAGTTCAACGATCCGAAAATACCCCACTGCTCCCAGGAGCGGTAACCTGGGCACTCTGTGCCCTTTATCCCTGTCCCGGTCCCTTCCCTGGGCCGAGGACCCCACCAGTAGGACTCAGTTTCCTTGAGCCTGCTGCCTGCATCCCTCACTTGATTTTGCTTGTGTGATCTCTCCGTTGCTCCTGCCCCTGGACGGAGTGGCAAGCCTTACACTTGAAATCAGCCTGGTGTCGAAACAACTCCAAGGATTTATCCTTCAAGCCCTGTGTTCTGTCCAGCGATCCTACCTTCAATTTGAGGCACAGGTACTGCAGCAAGCCAGTGCCCTAAGGACTCTCAGAGAGGCCCTGGAGGATGTAATCGCCTTTTTGTGGCCCAGTACTCCCAGCTCTACCCCACACTCCCATCCAGAGATCATGTAGAGGGCCCTCATGGAGAGTGGGGCAGGGATGCCTGAGCAAGACAAGGACCCCAGAGTCCAAGAGAAGCCCGATGATCAGAAAGGGGGCCCTGAGGTCACCAGCGATGCACGGTCTGCAGGTACACCCATGTGGGACAGTGGAGGCCTCTCTCCCTTCCTACCCAGGCCCGGGCCTGGGCCCCTGCAGAGAAACCTCCATACCCAGAGGTCAGAAATCCCATCTGACCAGACATCCCAGCCATCTGGGATCTCCAAGCGCAATGCCATCCACAGCTCCTACAGCTCCACAGGAGGCTTCCTGTGGCTAAAGAGGAGGAAGAAACCAGCCTCATCCCACTGCCAGCTGCCCCTCACTTCTTCAAAGACAGTGAGTGAGGTCAGCCCTCAGGCTGTCTCTCAGGGTCAGGCCCAGTGTGAAAAGGCAGCAGATTCAGCACCTGGGGAGAAACCAGCCCCCAGGAGTGGCTCCCCACATCTCAGGCCTCTAGGCCTCATAAACGAAAGTTCCTCCTGCTGCCACGCAGGTGAGGGGAGCCTCTGAGGCTGCCATCTCCCTTACAGCTGGGGCTCCAGGTCACCGCTGAAGACCTGGGCCTGGAGAAAAAGGCTGAAATCTTGTGCCTTAATAGTGCACTGCAGGGTGAGGAAAAGTCCCTCTGGGAGTGCAGAGCCTCACTGCTGTCCCATGCTTTGTCCTCACCGGCAACAGGGACATCTTCTCTGCCTGCTGTCCTTAAAGCATCCAGCACAGAGGCACAGCAGGAGAGACGCAAGTCCCAAGATGTCCTGGACCCCATGGCCCTCCAAGCATCTGCTGCAGGGTCCCCCCCTAGACCTCCTGTGTCTGGGAGGAAGTGCAGGTCAGCAGGCCCCCTGTTCTCCTCCTCAGACACCCTTCCTGCCACCTCTTCACATTCCCAGGACTCAGCCCAAGTCTCATTGTCTGCTCCAACACAGCCAGACCAGGGCATCACAGAACACTCAGCTGCAGGGGTTTCCTTACCCAGCACTTCCACCTGGAGCCTGGCTGGGACCCTTTCTAACCCATCTTCTGCCTCTCACACCACCACCCTGGCCAGACAGAGGGTCAGTGATTTCGCCTTACTACAAAAACTTGATGCTATCGCTGCAGCCATCACACAGCCCAAACCTGTGGTCCTTCATGGACAGCAGCAGGGAACCTGCACCTTGAAGCGGTTTCATCCATCTTCCCATCCAGCTGCTTCAGCTGCAGCCCAGGCCTCATCTTCTGCTCCAACACAGCCAGCCCAGGGCACCACAGCACACTCAGCTGCAGGGGTTTCCTTACCCACCACTTTCACCTGGAGCCTGGCTGGGACCCTTTCTAACCCATCTTCTGCCTCTCTCATGACTGCCCTGGCCAGACTTATGATCAGTGGTCCCACCTCACTACCGAAACTTGCTGTGACCGCTGCAGTCACCACCCAGCCCAAACCTGTGGTCCTTCATGGACAGCAGCAGGGAACCCGTGGCTTGAAGCAGCTCCATCCATCTTCCCATCCAGCTGCTTCAGCTGCAGCCCAGGCCTCATCTTCTGCTCTAACACAGCCAGCCCAGGGCACCATGGCATCCTCAGCTGCAGGGGTTTCCTTACCCACCACTTCCACATGGAGCCTGGCTGGGACCCTTTCTAACCCATCTTCTGCCTCTCTCATCACCACCCTGGCCAGACTGACAATCAGTGGTCCCACCTCAGTACTGAAACTGCCCATGACCGCTGCAGCCACCACCCAGCCTAAACCTGTGGTGCTTCATGGACAGCAGCAGAGAACCTGTGGCTTGAAGCGGGCTTGTACGTATTCAGATCCAGCTGCTTTAGCCTTGAGCACCCCCACCAAAAGAAAGTCCACCTGGGCTGCAGGCCTGGCTGGGACCTGTTCTAACCCATCTTCTGCCTCTCTCATCACCGCCCTGGCCAGACTGATAATCAGTGGTCCCACATCAGTACTGAAACTTGCCGTGACCGCTGCAGCCACCACCCAACCCAAACCTGTGGTCCTTCATGGACAGCAGCAGGGAACCTGTGGCTTGAAGTGGGCTCGTCCATATTCAGATCCAGCTGCTTTAGCCTTGAGCCCCTCCACCAAAAGAAAGTTGACCTGGGCTGCAGGCCTAGCTGGCACCCTTTCTAACCCATCTTCTGCCTCTCTCATCACCCCCCTGGCCAGACCGAGGGTCAGTGGTCACACCTCACTATGGAAACTTGCCGTTATGGCTGCAGCCATCACTCAGCCCAAACCTGTGGTCCTTCATGGACAGCAGCAGGGAACCCACACCTTGAGGCGGGTTCGTCCATATTCCCGTCCAGCTGCTTCAACTGCAGCCCAAGCCTCATCTTCTGCTCCAAGACAGCCAGCCAGCCCAGGGCACAACAGCACACTCAGCCACAGGGGTTTCCTTACCCATCACTTCCACCTCAAGCCAGGCTGGGACCCTTTCTAACCCATCTTCTTCCTCTTGCCGTGATGCACATGCTGCCTCCTCAGACTGTACACCTGCCAAAGTTAGGCGGCTCCGCTAAACAAGATCCAGAAGAGTGTTCTCTAGGTTTCCTTCTAATATTTTTCTAGTTTTGTATCTTGCATTCAAGTCTTGGATCTATCTGGAGGTCATCTTTGTATACGATGAGATAAAAAGTGTCCACTTTCATTCTTCTGCATGTGGTTATCCAGCCCTCCCAGTACCATTCACTGAAGACGGTGTCCTTTCCCCAGTGTGTGTTTCTGTCAGCTGTGTCGAAGATCAATTGGCTGTGAATATGTGGCTGTCTTTCTGGGCTCCGTCATGTGTCCCATTGATCTATGTGTCTATTTTCCTCCTAGCATCATGCTGTTTTAGTTACCATGCACTTGTCAAAAACTTTGTCTTTCTAATTTGTAGTGAAATGGGATGCCTCTAGTTTTTTTCTATTTGCTGAGGAAGGCTTTGACTCTTTGAGCTCTTTTTTTGGTTCCATATGAATTGTATGATTTTCCAATTCCCTGAGTGATGACACTGGTGTTTTGGCAGGGGTTGTATGGAACCTCTAGGCTGCTTTGGGCAGTACAGTCATTTTAATGCTACGAGTTTCTTCCATCCATTAGCATGGGATGATTGTCCATTTCTTTCTGTCTTATTAAAAATTTTCATCAGTGTTTTGCAGTTTTTCTTGCAGCAATCTTCAAACTCCTTGTCAAATTTATTCTGTGGCATATTTTTTTTCATTTTTTTGCTACTGTAAATGGGACTGCCTTCTTAATTTCCTTCCCAACTAGACCATTATTGGTGTATAGAAATGCTGCTGATTTTGGTACATTCATTCTGTATCCTGCAATAACTGTTTTTATTTATTGATCAACTCTAGGGGTTTTCTGGTGGAACCTTTATATGTTTCTAAATCCAAGATCATATCTTCATCAGATAAGGATAGTTTGATGTCCTCTTTTCCAAAGTGGATGCCTTTTATTTTTTCCTCTTGCCTGATTGTGTGATGTTGAACAGCAGTGGTGAGAATGGGCATCCTTGTGTTGTTCCTGTTTACAGAGGAAATGCTTTCAACGTTTCCTCATTATGTAGTCGGTTAGGCATGGCTTTGTCATAAACAGCTTTGATTATTTTCAGGTATGTTGGTTGTTTTTTTCTTTTTTAGATGAAGTCTTGCTCTTTTCACCCAGGCTGCAGTGCAATGGTGGGATCTCAGCTCACTGCAACCTTCGTCTCCCAGGTTCCAGCAATTCTCCTGCCTCAGAGTCCTGAGTAGCTGGGATTACAGGTGCCTGCCACCATGCCTGACTAATTTTTGTACTTTTAGTAGAGATGGGGTTTCACCATGTTGACCAGGCTGCTCTTGAATTCCTGACATCAGGTGATCCACTCACCTCAGCCTCTCAAAATTCTGGGATTACAGGCGTGAGCCGTGCACCCGGCCATTTTCAGGTATGTTTCTTTTATGCCTAGCGTGTTTGTTCGTTTTTCAGGACATGGCCTCACTGTCTTTCATGTTGGAGTGCAGTGGCAACATCAGAGCTACAGGTTTGAACTCCTGAGCTTCAGCCACCTCAGCCTCCTGAGTTGCTGGGACTCTTGGTGCATGTCACCAGAGCTGGGTAATTTTTATTTTTATATTGTTGTAGAGATCTATGTTCCTTAGGTTGGTCTTGAACTGCTGATGTCAAGTGATCCTCCCAGCTCAGCTTCCCAAAAGCACTAAGTTTACAGCATGAGGCAGCGCCTGGCCCAAAGTCACATGTTAACATCACCTCCTCACTGCTGGGCTCTGATTTTGGCAGTGACTAAAAACCTTAAAGGAGAGTTTCTGGTCAGGCCCTGCCCAGTCTGTGAACAGGGGGGAAATGGAAAGATGGCATGTGGATGGTTCTTTTGGAGAACTGGCCAGACAAGTGCTAGATGCTGTTTTCTGGAATACAGGACCATGAGATGTCCAGTCCAGCTGCCTTGTCCAGGGCCCCTAGCACCATCTAGTTTGGGAGCTCACCCAGAAGGTACCTTGGTTGCCCAAAGCAGCTGATCTTCCTACCAATCTGGTCCCATTTGAGAGATGAAACTGGGCCCTGTCCTCCAGGAAACCATTCCTGTGTGTGCCTGTATTTGTCCTCACCTTGCCTGGCCTCTGTACCATAAGAACTTGGATTTGCAAGGCTCTGCCTGTCAGCTGAGCATCACGGAGCAGCTCTCTTCTGTTCCAGTGAGGATGCCCAGGCTCCTACACCCTTGCCCAGATTTGGCCATTCTCCCCTTCATCCACAGGTGACCTCCAACCTGATTCTGCTCGCTGTCTTCTGGCAGCTGCTCTGAAAAAGGGCATTTTGGCCCCTGTTTTCTATTGATCTTTCCAGCGCTGTTTGGGACAGCCCATGCATTTGTCCATGTACTGCTTCTTTGGAAGGCAATCAGGGCTTTCTTTCAGGGGCAGGTATAAAAGTTCTTGTGAGATTTGTGTATGAAGTCTGCCTTCACTACCTGGATAGGACTAGCACGCTTCCACTGCATGACTGCAATCTTACTACACATTTTTTAAATTTTTAATTTAATTAATTTATTTATTTTGAGACAGAGTCTGGCTCTGTTGCCCAGGCTGAAGTGCAGTGGCATGATCTTGGCTTACTGCAATCTCCGCCTCCTGCATTCAAGTAATTCTCCTGTCTCAGCTTCCTGAGCAGCTGAGACTACAGGCACATGCCACAATACCCAGCTAGTATTTATATTTTTGGTAGAGACAGGGTTTCTCCATATTGGCCAGGCTGATCTCGAACTCCTGACTTCAGGTGAACTACCTACCGGAGCCTCCCAAAGTGATAGAATTACAGGCTTACATTTATTTATTTCTTATTTATTTGAGCTGGAGTGTTGAGCAGTCATTCTGGCTAGAGTGCAGTGGCCCGAACTTGGCTCACTGCACCTCTGCCTCCTGGGTTCAAGCAATTCTCCTGCCTCAGTGTCAACAGTACCTGGGTATAAAGGCAAGTGCCACCTCGTCCTGTTAATTTTTGTATTTTCTGCTCCCTGCCTCACCAGGTCCACAAGCAGAGAGGAGTGCAAGGCAAGGCAATTCTAGGAAAGGTAACTCCAGGCAAGGCAAGGCAAGGCAAAAAAATTCCAGGCAAGGCAAGGAAAGGCAACTCAAGGCAATTCCATGCAAGGAAAGGCAAGGCAAGGCAAGAAAATTCCAGGCAAAGCAAGCCAAGCCAAGCCAAAGCAATTCAAGGCAATTCCAGGCAAGGCAGGGCAAGGCAATTCCAGGCAAGGCAAGGCTATCTAAGGCAAGGCAAGTCAAGGAAAGGCAATTTCAGGAAAGGCAATTCCAAGCAAGGCAAGGCAAGGCAAAGCAAGGCAATTCTAGGCAAGGCAAGACAAGGCAAGGGAAGGCAAGGGAAGGCAAGGCAAGAAAATTTCTGGCAAGGCAAGTCAATGCAAGGCAATTCCAGGCAAGTAAATTTCAGGCAAAGCTAGACAAGGCAATTGCAAGCAAGGCAAACCTAGGCATGGCAAGCAAGGAAAGGCAATTCTAGGCACAGCAATTCCAGGCAAGGAAAGGCAAGCCAAGGCAAGGCAATTCCAGACAGGGCAATTCCAGGCTAGGCAAGGCAAGGCAATGCAAGAAAATCCCTGGCAGTGCAAGAATATTTCAGGCAAGGCAATTTCAGGCAAGGCAAGGCATGGCAATTTTAGGCAAGACAAAACAAGGCAAGGCAGGCCAATTCCAGGCAAGGTAATTCGAGGTAAGAAAAGGCAAGGCAAAGCAGGGAAATTCTAAGCAAGGCAATTCCAGGCAAGGCAATTTGAGGCAAGGCAAGGCAGGGAAATTCTAAGCAAGGCAATTTGAGGCAAGGCGAGGCAAGGCAAAAAAGGGCAATTCGAGCAAAGGCGTTTTCAAGCAAGACAAGGCAAGGCAATTCCAGGCAAGGCAAGCAAGACAAGGCAAGGCAATTCCAGACAAGGCAATCCCAGGAAAGGCAAGGAAAAAGAATTCCAGGCAAGGCAAAGTAAGACAAGGCAATGCAATTCTAGGCCAGGCAATTCCAGGCAAGGCAAGGTCATGCACGGCAAGGCAAGGTCATGCACGGCAAGGCAATTCCAGGCAATGCAAGGCAAGGCGTTTTCAGGCAAAGCAATTGCCCAAAAGGCAATTCCAGGCCAGGGAAGGCAAGACAAGGCAGGGAAAGGCAACTCCAGGCAAGGCAATTCCAGCAAGGCAATTCCAGTCAAGGCAAGGCAAGGCAAGGCAAGACAAGGCAATTACAGGCAAGGCTACTCCAGGGAAGGCAAGTCAGGGCAATTCCAGTCAAAAAGAAGCAAAGTAATGCAATGCAATTCCAGGCAAGGCAATTCCAGGCGAGGCAAGGCAAGTCAATTCCAGGCATGTCAATTCCAGGCAAGGCAATTCTAGGCAAGGCAATGCAAGTCAAAGCAATTCCAGGCAAGGCAACAGAAGGCGAGGCAAGGCAATGCAATTCCAGGCTAGGCAATTGCAGAAAAGGCAATTCCAGGCTAGGCAAGGCAAGACAAGGCCGGGAAAGTCAATGTCAGGCAAGGCAATTCCAGGTAAGGCAAGGCAAGGCAATTCCAGGGAAGGCAACTCCAGGCGAGGCAAGGCAAGGCAATATCAGGCAAGACAATTTCAGGCAAAGCAAGGCAATGCCGGGTAAGGCAACTCCAGGCAAGGGAAGGCAAGGCTATTCCAGGCAAGGCAATTCCAGGCAATGCAAGGCAAGGCAAGGCAAACAAATTCCAGCAAGGAAATTCCAGGCAAGGCAAGGAAAGGCAAGGAGAGGCAAGGTCATTCCAGGCAAGGCAATTTCAGGCAAGGCAATGCAATTCCAAGCAAGGCAATTCCAGGCAAGACAAGGCAAGGCAATTCCAGACAAGGTAATTTCAGACAAGGAAAGGAATGGCTATTTCAAGCAGGCAAGGCAAGGCAAGGCACAAAAGTGCAATTTCAGGCAAGGTGATTTCAGGCAAGACAAGGCAAGACAATTCCAGACAAGTTAAATTGAGGAAAGGCAAAAATAGGCAATTCCAGGCAAGGCAAGGCAATGCAATTCTAGGCCAGGCAATTCCAGGCAAGGCAAGGCAATTCCAGGCAAGGCAATTTCAGGCAAGGCAATTCCAGGCAAGGCTATTCCAGGCAAGGCAATTCCAGGCAATGCAAGGCAAGGAAAGGTAAAAAATTCCAGGCAAGGAAATTCCAGGCAAGGCAAGGCAAGACAAAACAATTCCAGGCAAGGCAATCCTGGACAAGGCAAGGCAAGGCAAGAAAATTCCTGACAAGGTAAGTCAATGCAAGACAACTCCTGCAAAGCTAGGCAAGGCAATTGAAAGCAAGGCAAATCCAGACACAGCAGGCAAGGCAAGGCAAGGCAATTCTAGGCACAGCAATTCCAGGCAAGGCAAGGCAAGCCAAGACAAGGCAATTCCAGACAGGGCAATTCCAGGCTAGGCAAATCAAGGCAATGCGAGAAAATTCCCAGCAAGGCATGAAAATTTCAGGCAAGGCAATTTCAGGCAAGGTAAGGCATGGCAATTCCAGGCAAGGCAAAACAAGGCAAGGCAGTCCAATTCCAGGCAAGGTAATTCGAAGTAAGAAAAGGCAAGGCAAAGCAGGGTAACTCCAGGCAAGGCAATTTGAGGCAAGGCAAGGCAGGGAAATTCCAAGCAAGGCAATTCGAGGCAAGGTGAGGCAAGGCAATTCCAGGCAAGGCAAGGCAAGGCAATCCCAGGAAAGGCAAGGAAAAAGAATTCCAGGCAAGGCAATCCAGGCAAGGCAAAGTAAGGCAAGGCAATGCAGTTCTAGGCCAGGCAATTCCAGGCAAGTCAAGGCAATGCAAGTCAAAGCAACTCCAGGCTAGGCAATGCAATTCCAGGAAAGGCAATTTCAGGCTAAGCAAAGCAAGACAAGGCAGGGAAAGGCAATATCAGGCAAGGCAATTCCAAGAAAGGCAAGGCAATGCTGGGTAAGGCAATTCCAGGCAAGGGAAGGCAAATGTATTTCAGGCAAAGCAATTCTAGGCAATGCAAGGCAAGGCAAGGCAAACAAATTCCAGCAAGGAAATTCCAGGCAAGGCAAGGAAAGGCAAGGAGAGGCCAGGTCATTCCAGGCAAGGCAATTTCAGGCAAGGCAAGGCAATGCAATGCAACGCAATTCCAGGCAAGAAAAGGCAATTCCAGACAAGGTAATTTCAGACAAGGAAAGGAAAAGCAAGGAGAAGCAAAGTCATTCCAGGCAAGGCAATTTTAGGCAAGAAAAGGCAATGCAATGCAATGCAATTCCAAGCAAGAAAATACCAGGCAAGACAAGGCAAGGCAATTCCAGACAAGGTAATTTCAGGAAAGGCAATTCCAGGCAAGGCAAGATAAGGCAAGACAATGCAATTCTAGGCCAGGCAATTCCAGGCAAAACAAGGCAAGGCAAAGCAAGGCAATGCAATTCCAGACAATGAAAGGCAAGGCAATGAAAGGCAAGGCAATGAAAGACAAGGCAATTGCCAGAATGTCATTCTAGGCCAGGCAAGGCAAGAAAAGGCAGGGAAAGGCAATTCCAGGCAAGGCAATTCCCACTAAGGCAGGTCAAGGCAATTTCAGGCAACCCAATTCCAGTCAAGGCAAGGCAAGGCAATTCTAGGAGAGGCAATTCCAGGTGAACTGCCTTGCCCTTCCTGGAATTACCTTGTCTGGAATTGCCTTGCCTTGTCTTGCCTTGCCTTGCCTGGAATTGCGTTGCCTTGCCTGGAATTGCGTTGCCTTGCCTTGCCTGAAATTGCCTTGCCTGGAATGGCCCTTTTTTGCCTTGTTTTGCCTTGCCTGGAATTGCCTTTCCTTTCCTTGTCTGAAATTACCTTGTCTGGAATTGCCTTGCCTCGTCTTGCCTGGAATTTTCTTGCTTGGAATTGCATTGCATTGCATTGCCTTGCCTTGCCTGAAATTGCCCTGCCTGGAATGACCTTGCCTCTCCTTGCCTTTCCTTGTTTTGCCTGGAATTTCCTTGCTGGAATTTGTTTGCCTTGCCTTGCCTTGCATTGCCTGGAATTGCCTTGCCTGGAATAGCCTTGCCTTCCCTTGCCTGGAATTGCCTTGCCCGGCATTGCCTTGCCTTGCCTGGAATTGCCTTGCCTGGTCTTGCCTGGAATTGCCTTGCCTGGAATAGCCTTTTCCTGCCTTGTCTTGCCTTGCCTTGCCTTGCCTGGAATTGCCTTGCCTGATATTGCCTTGCCTGACCTTGCCTTGATTTGCCTTCCCTGGATTTGCCTTGCCTCACCTTACCTGGAATTGCCTTGCCTGTTCCTAATCTTCCTAAGGGGGCGGTGGCCTGTCTGGGGACAGGGCGGGTTCCACTGATGTGGGCTCTAGGCCAGCTTGTTGTCATGGACATGGCGTTAAGGCCCAAGCACTGGGTGCCCGTTTTCTATGTTTCGAATTACACCAATTCAAAACAGAGCTATTTCAAAATATCGGCCAGGCGCGTTGGCTGCACCTTTAATCCCAGAACTTTGGGAGGCCTAGGCGGGTGGATCACTTGAGGTCAGGCGTTCGAGAGCAGGCTGGACAACATGGCAAAAACCCACCTCTACAAAAAATTAGCCGGGCCTGGTGGCATGCACCTGGAATCCCAGCTACTCAAGGCTGAGGCACGAGAATCTCCTGAACCCAGGAGGTGGAGGTTGCAGCGACCAAGATCATGCCACTGTACTGCAGCCTAGGAGACCAAGCAAGACTTCGTATCAATCAATAAATAAAATAAAGATATGAATAAACCTCTACAGAATCAAAAAAAAAACCCTTTCTCTCTCCCTCTTTTCACACCCTTTCTCTCTCCCTCTTTCTCTTAGAACCACTTTTGTCTTTGCCAATTTGTCCCTTGGGTTTGGCGACCCAGAGGCAGTGGCCAGAAAAGAGAGGCAGAATTGGAGTTATGGTCATGGGACTTTGGCTTTGGACAAGGCCAAGATTTACTTGGATAAGAACATAAAAACAAGGAGCTGCTGGAAGAGAAGAACTACACTTTGGATGGGTTTATTGGGAGCTGAGAGCACGGAAGATGAGACAGTTTTGGAAACCAGCTGCAGTAGCATGGAAGATACTGACAATCACTTCAACAAGGACAATTTTTTTTAAGAGACAGGGTCTCATGCTGTGGCCCAGGCTGGAGTGCCATGGTGTGATCACAGCTCACTGAAGCCAAAATCTCCTGGGCTTAAGCTATCTTCCCACCTCAACCTCCCAAGTAGCTGGGACTACAGGCACATCCAACCATGCCCAGCTCATTTTTAACTTTTTTTGTAGAGCCGGGTCTCACTGTTTTGTCCAGATTGGTCTTAAACTCCTAGGCTCAAGGGACCCTCTCTCTTCAGCCTCCCAAAGTGCTGAGATTACAGGTGTGAGCTGCTGTGCACCATGGAGGATGAGGTTTTTAAGGTGATTTCTGGTGCATCAAGATAATTCCTCCCCTCCCTCTGATCTTTAGGGGTTTCTTGAGGGACTAAAAATTGGAAGGTACTTTTCACTGCTCTTCTGGAAGAAGGAGATGGGCCAAAAAAACTGCTGTTTCTTTGAACCCACATCATGCATAGTCCAGGCCACACGGACCCCCAGTTACATACTGATTACACATTCAATGCATGTGTGTTTCAGCACGAGTGGCCAAGTGCCCCAGAGCTGGCTTGGTAACCTGACTTTTCCAGTCATGTTTATACTGAGTGGCTGACCTGGCTCCTCTCTTTTCTGAAACCCTAAATCCTAGACTACATCCAGAACAGGCCATGCCATCATCAGGGTGGTTACAGAGGGCCAAAGAAAGAAATCACCATGTGGCTCTGGCTTACGCAGTGGAGATGGGGAGTGGGTGGCACTACCTCCCATACCTCTGCCTAGATCCCCCCAGGAACGGGCCCACTCACCAAGAGAAACCGAAGGGATTCCCACCTCTATTAACTCAACTCTCTGCATACCTCCCTCATCCTCATCCCCGCTCCTCTTGTCTTGCCTTGTCTTGCCTTGCCTTGCCTGGAATTGCCTTTTCCAGACTTGCCTTGCTTGCCTTCCCTTGCCTTGTCTGGAATTGCCTTGCATTGCCTTGCTTTGCCTTGCATTGCCTGGAATTCCATTGCCTGAAATTTCCTAGCCTGAAATTGCCTGGTCTTGGCTTGCCTTGCCTTGCCTTGCCTTGCCTGGAATCATCTTTACTGGAATTGCCCTGCCTTGCCTTTCCTGGAATTGCCTTGCATGGAATTATGTTGCCTTGCCTTGCTTGGCTGGAATTTTCTTGCCTCCCCTGGAATTTTTTGCCTTGCCTTACCTTGCATTGACTGGAATTGCCTTGTCTGGAATAGCCTTGCTTTGCTTTGCCTAGAATTTCCTTCCTTGGAATTGCCTTTCCCGGAATTGCCTTGCTTGCCTTCCCTTGCCTTGCCTGGAATTGCCTTGCGTTGCCATGCCTTGCCTTGCATTGCTTGGAATTGCATTGCCTGGAATTTCCTAGCCTGAAATTGCCTTGCCTTGCCTGGAATCATCTTTACTGGAATTGCCCTGCCTTGCCTTGCCTGGAATTGCCTTGCCTGGAATTACGTTGCCTTGCCTTGCTTGACTGGAATTTTCTTGCCTGGAATTGCCTTGCTTTGCCTTGCCTTTTCTTGCCTTGCCTGGCATTGCTAGGCCTTGCCTTGCCTGGAATTTCCTTGCCTGGAATTACATTGCCTTGCCTTGCTTGACTGGAATTTTCTTGCCTGGAATTGCCTTGCTTTGCCTTGCCTTTTCTTGCCTTGCCTGGCATTGCTAGGCCTTGCCTTGCCTTGCCTTGCATAGAATTGCCTTGAGTTGCCTTTCCTTGAATTGCCTTGCTTTGCCTTCCCTTGCCTGGAATTGTCTTGTCTTGCTTTGCCTGGAGTTGTCTTGCTTGGAATTGCATTGCAATGCCTTGCCTTGCCCTTACCCTTGCCCTTGCCCTTGCCCTTGCCCTTGCCCTTGCCTTTGCCTTTGCCTTTGCCTTTGCCCTTGCCTTGCCTTCCTGGAATTTCCTTGCCTGGAATTTTTTGACTTGCCTTACTTTGCATTGCCTACTATTGCCTTGCCTGGAATAGCCTTGCCTTGCCTAGAATTGCCTTGCCCTCCATTGCCTTGCCTTGCCTGGAATTGCCTTGCCTAGAATTTCCTTGCCTGGCCTTGCCTGGAGTTACCTTCCCTGGAATTACCTTGCCTTGCCTTACCTGCAATTGCCTTGCCTCGAATTTGCCTTGCCTTGCCTTGCCCTGCCCTGCCCTGCCCTGCCCTGCCCTGCCCTGCCCTGCCCTGCCTTTCCTTTCCTTGCCTTGCCTTGCCTGGCATTGCCTTCTCTTGCCTTGCCTTGACTTGTCCAGGATTGCCTTGCCTGGAATTGTTTTGTCTTGCCTTGCCTTGCCTGGAATTGCCTGGAGTGAAGGAAAATGGCTCCAGTGTCAGACTCCCCAACATGCTGCATGCTCAGCAGGATCTGCCCACAGACATCCAGGGAACACTCACCTTCCCTACCTTGGGAGAGGTTACCGGACAGAACTGCACTGGGTGTTGGTGTCATCCAGGACCCCACACACTTTCCTGAGTGTGATCCTGCTTCCCTCCTCTGGGCAGCTGCATCCTTTTCTCCTGCAGTATTTTCTGAAAACTTGGCTCTGGGTTTCATCTCCCTTCTCCCCTCTCCTTGCCCCAACCTCCTTTTTCCGAAAAAGTGAGGGAATTGTTTACAGGTTAATTTGTTGAAAATAAGTGGCAGCCCCACGTTTCTGTTTTCTTTCAGCCTGCTGGTAATGCAGGGTTACAAAGGATGCCTGGGCTCCCACACAGGTGCTGGCAGAGGGGGCAGCAGGTGGTGCTGTGCCTCTGCCTGCTTGAGGAAGGAGGCCATCCCCATGCCCCTCGTCCCTAGGCCGGGCTTCTTCCTGACCTTCTAAATATCCTGTAGTCCAGAGATCTCAGAACCCACTCCTGAGAGAGCAGAGCCAGGCACTTAGAGAAAGACAAAATGGTGCCATTCTAGGATCTTATTAGGTATCTAAATCTGTTAGAAAGAAAATTAGGAACTATGTATAAAACTTAAAATATTCAAGTATTAAAAGGTTATTTGAATCAAAGTTTTAAAACATGCCATCAGCAAGCTTCTACCACTAACTGGGACTTTTACAAAAGTTGAGCATGTTCCCTGAGTTGAGAGAAAATTGAAGCCACCTGTGCTGGGGCCACTTGAGGCAGGGAGAGTGTGGGCAGGAGAAGCCAGGGAAGTCCCAGCCTGTGGAAGCCAAACAGGAGAGCATGAGCCAGGAGGGCGGTCAGGATCGGGGATGAGGTTGCTCTCCCTAGAGGAGGAATCCTAAAGCGCACAGCCTGGGACTCCCTCCCCTGGGGTCCAGTCCCCCAACATTTCACAGGCCTCCTGGAGCTGCCTTCCAATAAGGACAAACACAGCAAGAAAAGATCCATTTCTGCACAAGAGTCCTTCTGAAAAGAAGGAAAAAAGGCTGTGAATGGAGTCAAAACATTACCCAGTGCTGACTTAGCCTCTCAATTCTTTTCTAAATGGAGTGTGGTTTCCTAGTCCGGGAATGGAAGAGGCCCCTCCCACACAGGGACAGGGCCATGACCCCAGTACTTCTGCTTTGTCTCACTGTCCCTTGGCAGATGGCCTGATGCTTGGCGCTGGCCCAAGGACACCTCAGGAAGGTTTAGTTCCCACTCTACAGATGGTCCAATTATCCAGAGGTTTTAGGGATGTCTATCTGCCTTCTGGAGATGGACAGGGGCCTTAAGACTTCGGTTGAGAACAGAATGCTCTGTCTCTTACTGTCTGGGCAGGGATGGCCTCCAGCTGCAGGAAGTACAGCAGCACCTTGACCTGCCAGAAAGAGTGGGAAAGAGGAGAGAGGCTCAGAGGGTGCTCACAGCTGGTGATCTTTAGCCCCCAAGTCCAGCTCAGGTGCTGGGTCCTCTGCTGCTGCCATGAAACCTTTACAGTGAGACGGGAGGTGGGGGTGTGGATGCAGACAAGGCATGACTTGGGGGGTTATTTTAAAGGTGCACAGGGCCTTGCTCTGTCACCCAGGCTGGAGTACAGTGGCTCCATCATGGACCAATGCAGCCTCTAACTGCTAGGCTCAAGCCATCCTCCCGCGTCAGCCTCCCCAGTAGCTAGGACTACAGGTGTGTGCCACAATGCCTAATTTTTCCTTTTCTCTTTTCTAGAGATGGGGTTTGCTGCATTGTCCAGACTGGTCTCAAACACCTGGGTTCAGTTATCCTGCCGCGGTCTCTCAAAGTGCTGGGATTACAGGCATGAGCCTCCACACCCAAACACTTGGGGCGGTTTTAAGCCCCCAGGAAGGTGCACCAGCAGGACCAAGAGGTGGCCTGGGCCTCCCCAACACTCTCATCCATGCAGACCTAGGCAAGTTTTTCTCTCTGAATCTCAGGCACCACCACAGACAATGCAAGTAGGAAGCTGGGCAGGGCAGGACCGGGGGTGTAGCAGGCAGAGGCCACCTCTGTCAGGTTGGGGTGGCATGGGCTGGCTAGAGCCTGTCTTCCCACATGTAGGTCATGACCTCCAAGGACCAGCTGTTGGTCATGGTGATGGGCCGCTGGGATTGGCAGAAAGCTTGCTCTCCTTCTCTGAGGCTGGAGCAGTGTGGGGCCAAAGATCATGGTGAGGTTGTGTAGGGACTTTTATTGACTGCCTTTTTCTTACCACCCTGTGCAGGACCGAAGCAGAGGGTGCTGTTTCTATGCCACCACCAGGAAAGAGGCAGAGGGGCTGGACCATGCTGGAGTCCTCTGGGAGGGAGCGACCTCGACCCTGGCTGTGCTGCAAGCTGATTCCAGCCCCGGTACTTGTGGGTCTCAGCGGCCCAGGATGAGGGGTTAGCTCTGGGCTGGTGGGGAGGTCTCCTCCACAGTTGGGGAGTGAGGGAGTTGGGGGATTCAAGTGCACTGCTGGCCATGGCCAAAGCTCTGAGCTCTTTGTGAAGCCACAGTGCAGAGGGGAGAGCAGGGCAAAGAGGAGAGGCTGGGGTGGGGGTGGCAGTGGTGCTGGTCCCCAGCGGCAGTGAGGGACTGTAGATGGGTTGGGGGAAGAGGTCCTCGGTCTGATGTGCTGGGGGTCTGATGTGAGCAGAGGGGCACCCTGGGGCCTGGGTTTTTGTAGCCCTCCCTCGGCAGCCATGGGAGAGCTGGGCTACCTTTTCAGGTGGTCCAGAAGGAAAAGGAAGGTGAGCAGGTTGGCCTCCAGCCAGGACAAGGGCAGGTTAAGCATGGAGTTCTCCTTTGGAGTGGGTTCTGAAATTACTGCAGAAGGCAGTGGATTACTTCTCATGGTCACAACGAGCTGGAGACCTCTCCCGAGTTGGTGACACGGAGCACCCGGGACACCTGTTCCTGAACAGCCCAGGCTCGTCATCATCCTCACTCCCACAGTACTAGACCCCAATGAGGACCCTGTTAAGGGTGCCAGTGTGGGGTATGAGCCACCTGAATCCCTTTTCTCTGCCCCACAGGAGTCAGCATTACCTGGAGAACAGCAGCAGGAGGTGGCATGAGAGCAGTGGCTCATGGGCAGAGCTGCCCGTGGGAAACTGCAGCTGCCACCCCCTCCTGAGGGCAGCCCAGAGTAGTGGAGGCTCAGCATAAAATGAAAAAGGGGAGTAAAAGACACAAGGAGGTGGGAGGTGGGTGGCCCCAGCCCCACAAACTAAGCAGAGATCCTCTCTTCACCCCAGACTCCGCAGGGGCACCTCGGGTGGTAGACCAGGTCCTCTGTGCATGGGCCCAGGAGGCAGGCTTGCCCTAAGGATCATGCAGAGGATACAGGGCCACACACGCCAGTGCCCTGCTTAGACATCAGCTTCCAGGTTGACACGGGGTCAGGCCAGGTTTGATCCTGTGCTTGACTGGGCCAGGACCCGTGGCTAGAGCACCTGGGGACCCTCGTTCAGCCCTGGTCTGCTGGAAGGGTGAAAGCAGACTTCAGGACCCCACAGCACAACAGTGCTGAGCATTTTACTCTCTTGGTTTCCTTGAGGAATAGGACAAGGAGTCCTCTGGGGACAGATGAGGACTTACACAATGGCCTCGGTTGTGGCCCCTGCTTTCTGAACTTGATTAAAACACTGACCATGGCAGAAAGGACACAGCTTGGGTTCCCACACCTCACTTTCCACAGCCCCTAATGGCAGCAGTGCACATGGAGGAGACACCTTCTATGATGCCAAGGCCTCCAGTGCTCACCGATGCCCTCATCAAAGTTGGGTAGAACTTGTCAGTGAAGAAGGGCTCAGGCAGCTCATGGAAGCAGAGCTTCAGCCTGTCTGCGATGGCATGTACGTCCATCTCACTCATCATCATCGACACGTCCCTGTTATCTGGAAAAAACATAGAAATGCTGTGGCCTCCTTGAAGATACCAAGTGGCTCTCCTGTCATCCCTGCCTTGGCTAAAGCACTGTCCCTGCCACGCTGGCCACTGTGCGGGTCCCTCCCTGGCTTTGAGCAGCTCATCTTCCTCCTCCTAAGAGCTGTGCATGGTTCTGTGTCTGTGTAGAGATGATGGAGGGGTGTGTGCATCCCCATATTTCTCCCCTGCTTGGCCCAATGTGGTGTCCAGGAGGGGGCCAGTGCAGCAGGACTCAGAGCCTGCCTGGGAATTGGTTGGCTCTGCCCTGTTCATAGCAACCACACCGTACCAGTCTTCTGACAGCAGGAAGGCTGTGGGAGAATCCGATGGGTTTCAGTGTTTGAACCAGGGTCTTCCTTTGGATCCAGTTGGCCACTGGAGCTGACCTCCAGCCTCTGGAAGCTTTTCTGGCACCTCCTTAGGCAATTCTATTTCTTTCTCACTTTTAAAAGCTGTAATGGGTTGAATATCCTCATTTACTTCGTGTTCTTCAAAGACCATTTCTGGCTCAGTTATATACTTAGCAGTAGTAGAAGATGCCATTTTTTTCCCTTGTGAGAATCAACATGTGTTCGAACTTCATTCCTTTTGTTTGGAAATATCTCGATGTATTGATTGCCAATTTCTTTCCTGTGTTTCAACAGGGCTTGGTTGGCCATTTCTGGTTCTTCAAATTGCACATAGGCTTCCCCTGTTTTTTGTCTCCCTCTTTAGTCCATCACAAAAGTAATGTCAACTATATTCAGTCCTGCAAAGAAGTCTATGATGTCTTTCTTGTTGCAACTATAAGGAAGTGCTCTCAAACGAACCACACCATCATTTACCATAGGTGAAGATTTGACCTGCAGGCTCTTCATTAAGGCTTCCACATCTTCATTGTTTATCTCAGTTCAGTGAATCCCAGAGTAAAAAAGAAGAAAATCATTCCATCATAGTCGCAATGTTGAAAAACAACCATGGAGAAAAAAATATTGAAAGTTGCCAGCATAATAAACAACACATCACATAAAGGGGAATACTAATTAGAAACCACTGACTTCTCATCAGCACCTATAGAGGCAACAACTCTACAGTGGGACAACATCATTAAAGTGTTGAAAGAAAATAAAACCTCTGAACCAAAATTCCACATCAAGTGAAAATATCCTCAAAAGTGAAAGTAAAATCAAGACATTTGCAGATAAAAGGAAACCAGAATTTATAATCAGAAGAATTGCACTATAATAAATGCTAAAGGAAATTCTTCAGGCTGATGGGAATTGATAGAAAACAGAAAATCAGATCTTAAGGATGGGATGAACAGGGTCTGAAATAATTATCCAGGTGAATATTTTAAAATATTTTTCTCTTTATTTCCTTAAAATACATATAGATATAATACACATGGCAACTATGATGCAAATAGAAACAGGTGGGGGGTGAAGGGACGTACATGGGTGCAAGGCTTTTGCAATTATACATTTTGCATTTTGCAGATTTTAACTTCTTTCTCTCAACACGTCTAGAACAGTTAGACCAAAACCAAAAACCAGTATAGATTATCTCAACCATCTTGACCTGTACCCTAAATCCTAGATAATACATTTGTTTTCAAGTATGCTTGTCACTTTCACCAAGATAGCCATGTGCTTGACCATAAACCAACTTCCAATAAATTTAAAAGAATTGCAGTCGTACAAAGTATGTACTTGGCCCACAATGAAATTAAATGAAAAGCCAATAACAATAAGATATCTATGAAAATCTCAAAATATTTGGAAATGAGACATGTATTTCTAAAAATCCATGGAACAAAGAAGAACTCACAAGGTAAAATGACAAATGCAAAAATTAGTTATTTGAAATAAATCTACAATATAGACAAACCTCTAATCAGCAAGAAAAAGGAGAAAACATAAATACAAAGGGGTTATCACTGCTAGAATGCCTACAGACATTAAAATCATAATAATATTATAGACAAGATATTTCCTGAAAATTCAAAAATGAAGATAAAGTTAACCTTGAAAAATATAACCAAAACTGACATAAAATGAAACAGAAAGTATAAGTTACCTTGTATCTATTAAAGAAAGTTAATTTGTTTTCAAAACCCTTTTTACAAAAGAAGCTCCAGGCCCAGATGGTTAACTGGTGAATTTTATCAAATATTTCAAGATGAAATTATAGGCTGGGTATATATGGTGGCTTACACTTCTAACACCAGCGCTTTGGGAGGCTAAGGCAGAGGGATTGCTTGAACTCAGGTGTTCAAGACCAGCCTGGGCAACATAGCAAGACTCCATCTCTACAAAAAATAAAATAATTAGCCAGGCATGGTGGCATGCACCTGTGGTCTCAGTTACTCAGGAGACTGGGGTGGAAGAATTACTTGAATCCAGGAGGTTGAGGCTGCAGTTAGCCAAGATCATGCCACTGCATTTCAGCCTTGGCAACAGAGTGAGACCCTGTCTCAAGAAAATAAATAAATAAATAAGAAATAATAATCTTACACAAACTCTTTCAGAAAATGGGGGAGGAATTGGGGTAAAGGCCAGAAGTCAAGCAATGTAGACAGCCTCTAGAAGCTAGAAAAGATAAATAAATAGATTCTCAACCTGAAGCTTCTAGAAGAAGGCTGCCAACACCATGGTTTTAGAATTCTGACCTCCAGAAATGCAAGAGAATAAATTCATGTTGTTTTAAGTCACTTGGGGAAAAAAAAAGTAGGCCAGATTCACTGGCTGTCACCTGTAATCCCAGCACTTTGGGAGGCTGAGGCAGGCAGATTATTTGAATCCAGGAGTTTGAGACCAGCCTGGGCAACATGGCAAAACCTGTCTCTACTAAAAATACAAAAATTAGCCAGGAGTGGTGGCACATGTATGTCGTCCCAGCTACTTGGGAAGCTAAGGTGGGAGGATCGCTTAATCCAGGGAGGTTGAGGCTGCAACGAGCCAAGATCATACCACTGCACTCCGACCTGGGCAACAGAGCAAGACCTTGTCTCTAAAACA